CAGCCTGGGGAGTGTGGATGGAATGGCCAACAGGGCACCTGTGGAATTTCCTAGAGGCCCCTTATTTCAAAATAACTCCAGTTGCTGAGTCTACACACGCCCTATTTTGAAATAGCTATTTCTAAACGGGCGTTATTCCTCATGGAATGAGGTTTAGAGAGTTGGAAATAAGCCATCCGTTATTTTGAAATAACAGAATTGTGGTGTAGATGCTCGCATTGTTATTTTGAAATAACTGTGCTGTGTAGACACACCCTTAGTGACTGTTCCTATTCCACTCATTTTTATATACTCATGCCCTTTTGTCTCTTCTGAAGGAAGTAGGTCTAATTTTTACCCTCTTTTACGTTCAGCCTGTTTTCTGTACCTGTTTCCCTGTCTTGTATCATGGGGCTAATAAATCTTGCTTACCTCAGGTAGGAGTTGTGAAAATGAGTATTACCCCACTGCTACAAAGCGCTTGACAACATGGCCTTTGAGAATAGGCAGTCCTCTCTCCAATGTAGCCTGAGTGCTTTTGGTGGGCTACTCAAGGCTGAGGGAAGAATTTCATGGGTCATGCAGTTAGCGGAGAGCTATTACAAGTGATCGCAAGGGGTTCCCTTTGGCCTTAATCTCTTGATCATAGGGAATATTATTGGCCCTGGATGATTTTGTGGTAACAACAATCTTTATTTGCAAGATAGAAAAGGACCATGTAAAAATTAGCTGGGAAAAATGTTTATTTTGAAGTTTCTCAGAGGGATTTTACAAACAATGGAGAGCAATAAAAAAAATCAAGTGATCCAAGTACTTGGCAGTGTCCCTTAGCTACAAGCAAGCCCCTGGAGAGAGAGAAAAACATTACCAGCAAGGAGGTCAATGCTGCAGGAAGAGCAGCTAGCACCTGCATATTTCTAGTAGGAAATATTGCAATGCTGTTGCTGCTAGTAACTGTCATCCTAGTATTAATATAAGATAGTGCTGAAGTATGTACACTTACACCTGCAGAAAACGAATTGCATAAAACAACACAGCAAGTAGGTATTGCAGAATTAATTTATTTACCCTGAAACAATGAAATTAGGTGTGATGCTTATTATTGTCAACATTGAACTAAACAATTGATCTTATTAACAACTCCAAAAGGTCACATGCAGTTGTTATAACTGACACTTTCATTTTTAGAGAAATGCATCACACGAACACTTGTATTGCACCAACAACTGTCTACTGCTTTAGATTTAAATAAGTTACATTAGTGCAAGAGATGTATCATTGCACGTGAAAATTAAAAAAAAATTGGAAGTTATGAACTGGAGGCTTACAGTTTAAACATTCAACATCTGTAGTTTTTTTTTACTGAATTTATAAATAGTATAGCATATTGTACATAGCTGTTCATAAAGTAGTGTTTAGATGATACAATACAGAAAAATTTGGCTACTTACAACTGAAGGCATGCACTAATCCATTATACATTTTATACAGAGAAATATGGAAACTTGGCTGACAGCTCCTTAATTCTGGCCTAATGTTTAAGAATAAACAGTCTTCTCCATGCAGCAAAGAAACCAAACTTCTCTGGAGAATTGTTTCCTGATTTGTTAAGCTATATTGTACATTTGTATAATTGAAGCCCTAATGGTACCACACATTTCCTCCACAGAGCACACAATGAGTTTTGTTTTTGGGAAAGCAAGTTTGGGGGTGGTGGTGGTGTTCGTGTTCCTACATGATACATGCAGAGGTTTTGACAGATGTGTTACTAAAAACATATGCACGCAACAAAACAACCTTACATTTCTGCAAAATTGTTTAGGAAGTGATTACTCCAGCATTGCTGAAAAGGAAAGAAAAAGGAATCAGTGAAAGGATGAATATTGCTATATCATTATATAAGCAAGACTTGTAAGATCTATAGTGACAGAAGAGAGAATGTTAAGTTGGATAACGGATGTTTTAATTGAAAGGACACAGTCAGGTTTAAGAAAAACCTAAGCTTGAACACCTCGAGTGAAATCCTGACCTTACTGAAATCAGAGACAAGACTCCCACTGATTTCAATAGGGCCAAGATTCAATCACTAAGGGTGCATCTACACAGCAGGGCTTAACTCGAAATAAGCTACGCAAATTGAGCTACGTCAATCCTGTATCTTATTTCGAAATAGGGAACGTCCACACAGCACTTACTTTGAAATAGAGCGCTCTTCCTCCGACTTCCCTTACTCCTCGTACAATGAGGGTTACAGGAGTTGGAGTAAGAAGTCCTCCAGCTTGACATTATTTTGAAATAACTGCCTGCTGTGTAGACATGAACTAAGTTCTTTCGGAATAGTGCTAGTTATTTTGAAATAGTGTTGCAGTGTAAACATACCCTAAGAGATCCAAGGTAAAAGAATTAAAACAATTTACTTTTGTGTAGTTTTGTATTTCTCCGTCTAACCAACAGAAATAGACAATACTTTTTTCACTTTCAGGTTCTTATGCACTGACAAGGTTTTAATATTTGAACTAACCCCTGCATGAATTTAATTAAAAGAATTAAAAAAGTTTCAAGACATTTCCATGACACTTTTTTTTTTTTTTAAAGTAAGCTTTAGCTCAGAATTGGCCTAAGTGTCCCTTTAATTATCCAGGTTATGCAGCTAGTTCTGGAAGTAGTCATTGCAATTAAAGTTGTGATTAGCAGAGATTAGGGAAACAATGGTTAGAAGTGCAAAAGGTAGGGCAAACACAAGAGAAACAGACAATTTTGTATCAGATTTACCTCTTCCCCCTCCCATCTCAGCAAAATTCCATCATCCTTCCTGTTAGAGCTGTTTGTCATCATATTCCACTTATCAGCTGTGTTCTTGGAAGAAGCTAGAGGACTGCTGTACTGCATTTCATCACCACAGATTAAAATTTCATTTTCTTGCATTTAAATTTTTATGAAACAATCTTTCCACAACTATTAGCCATATAGCAATTTTATAATACAATTTAGTTTTACATAACACTTCAAGAGACCAAATATGAAAGATTCTATCTATCTACAGTAATCAGATATGCTTCAGCTTGAATTTGTGTAGATAAAATAGAGCAGCCATTTAAAATATTTAAAATTTCATTTTCTTGCATTTAAATTTTTATGAAACAATCTTTCCACAACTATTAGCCATATAGCAATTTTATAATACAATTTAGTTTTACATAACACTTCAAGAGACCAAATATGAAAGATTCTATCTATCTACAGTAATCAGATATGCTTCAGCTTGAATTTGTGTAGATAAAATAGAGCAGCCATTTAAAATATGGCTCAGAA